CATAGGATACTATCATCCTGCTTGAAGAGATTTGATACATAGTATCAGTTCTTCCCAAAGCCTCACTTTCTGTAAGAATTTAAGTTTCCATTTCAAATTCTCATGCTGGGGGTCTGAGGGTGGGTGTTAGGGGTAAGTCATAAGGTAAGGGGAAAAGCAGAAGTCTATTTTCCACAGTTCTTTAAACTGCCTGCAAATGTTTGGTACTTCTGCTGGTTGGCCTTCCCTCCCCTTCTGTGCTGAAGCAAAGCTTCATAAAGTCCCTGCTCTTCTCCGAATGCAAAAGAACACTTGTGACAGGCTGAAAACATTACTGCTGGCACTGGCTTATCAGTTCATCAGGGGAGAACTGCACAACCAAAAATACTGCACAATACAAATGAAATTGTTGTCCATACACTGGAAAAAAAAAAAATCTGCATTTAGCACTTGAGATGAGCAATAATTAGATGCAAAGCCTGGGGGAAGACATGAAAAATTGGAACACAGAAAAGAAAAAGCTGTAATAAAGCAAACAACACATTACTGAGGAAAGAAACGTGTCTGGACAGTAGTCCAATACACAAAATTTGCATAGCACACAAAACCAGAACAGAAATAAAGTAGACCAAAACCATTTTGTGCTTTGGCTTTTCAAATGAATTTTGAAGCATTCCAAACCTGTGTTCCTCAAAAGGAAGCTGTGATCAGAGAATGGATTGAATTCCAGTTGGATACCTAGAATGTCAGTTTACTTAATAAAAAAATATAAGCTTTAGAATTATGAAACCTCCCCTTGAAATGTTTCCTAAGGCAGACAGAATAAGAAGCACCCTCCTGACTTGAAAAGATCACTTGGTCTTCTCTCTCTCTCACAGCTTTGCAAAGTTACAGGATGTGCTTATATTCCTTATTGAATGATATAACAATTATCAACTACTCATTAGCAAACAAAAACATGCATGTTTCAGAATAACTGGAAACCTTTTCTAGTTCTATTAGCAATTTGGATTGATCTATATTGCTGCATTTCTGCTTTAAGACATTCAAAGATTAATGAAATTGCTAAGTTTATGGCTTGGGTGCAATTAGAATAGAGTGCAAAATCTTGGCCATTTAGAAAAAATTTAGCAAGTGTAAGCTGGATTTCTCAACTAGCTAAACAATGGTGGAAATCTGCTAAGGAAAATAAGGCAGGCAATACTGACACTCGTGGTCATTTCTAGACTGCTCTTTTTCACTCAAACATGCTCGTGATAGCTAAGAAACATGTTGGGATCACAAGGTAGCCAAGCAAATTACAAATATTGTACAACCCTGTCCTCTCCACTCTAAGTGACTTACAGAAGAAGTATTCTTTTTGAAGCAAAGAACAGAATGGCCACTGGCCATATACATAATAATTCTTAACACAGAAAATTAAAACTAATAATAGTACAATTTTTCTACAATAAAATGGAATAATCTTTGCAAAGTATTCATGGAGTATTCAGATAACACGGTCCGTATGGGAACATTCAGTTGAGAGGTCTGATATGATGTACGTACTTAGTTAAACTTTCATGGAACTCATGGCCACCAGGCAGAAATCGACCAAGCAGTACACACCTGACTATCGCAACCACTCTAAATTGATTTGAGAAACTTCTGTTAATGGTGTCAAGAGACCTTTATTTAACAGCTCAAACTTAGGGTCTGTTTTTTTAAAACCAGTTAGACAAGATTCTACTGATACTCTCTGAAAATGACATGTAGGAAGTTTAAGGTTTTTTGAAGAAAATATTCCAAACTTACACGCCTTTGTTACGCATAAGTACCTTTTGCATAGTTCACAGTTGTCACATGCACAGGTTATTCTAAGTAGACATCTTTTCCAACTCCTTGCATCTGCTTCTAGCTTTGCAGAACTCACTAAAAAGTCAAGCTTTCACTTGGCCACAGTAACTCTGTAGTGTTCCTTACTCACAAACTGCACATCTTTACATCAGAGTAACTCCTTCTTAGTCTTAATAGATGGCAGCATTTCAAACACTAACATTGCAGCTTCTAATTTAAGATGTAACCATAGTAACATTACAGAACATATTACTCCTTGGATCAAGAATAAGCAGTCCACTGACCCCTTTACAGTGAGATTTAGCTGAAATAAAGCTCATTCCAACCTCCAGCCCAGCAAGATTACTCAAAACTTCAGGTCATATTTCCAGTACAAAGTAAGCTCTGCCCTCCTGAAATACCCAGAAACATACAGTATCACATAAAAGTAGTAAAGAAGAAAGTGCTATAAAAGAAAAGGAATTTCTTCCTGAAACTTTCATTCTCTAAAGCTAGATCAGTCACACCGAGATAGAAGGTAGCAGAAAAATCACTTTTCCTTACTTTTCTGTAAGATGAGCAAAGACCTGCTCATCCTTTAAAAGTAAAGAATTAATGAACAAAAGAAATTGTTCATTAAGCTTTAAGAATTCAATATTCAATTTGTTCACATGGCAAGATGACAAATATTACACATAACACCAAGCAACAGCTCTGCCTGAACTTTAAAACTATGCACAAGTGATACGGTCATCTAATTAAAAGGCAAAACTGTTATCTGTTCCCTTCTAAATTTACTTTAAAACAGGTTATACATAGAAAAAATGGCCCTTAGGATTTTTTTGCCTTTAATATTTACTAATGAGTATTTACAGAAAAATAAAGACAGCTCTGCCCACCCCAATATGTAAACATACCACATAGAACTCACAAATGTTCGGAGATACACTTCAGGTATAGCGAAGCAGTAGTAAATAAAGTGGAACACTATGGATTTTAACCATTCTGTTGGGATTTAGACTTGTTTCCTGAATACAATTTTTTGTGTCTTATCTGAAAATTCAAAAATCAGAGGCAGATTTACATGCTGGTTTCAAAAAAAAACATTACTTGCTTCTATGTAAATCAACACAGGTAGGGTAAGTTAACCACATGAATATCTTACTCGATTTCCTACTCGTAGCCCAGAATACAGAAAACCGGTAATACTCCTAGCCAAACTGTCACATGTTTGTAAACATAGAGCAACAGATTATATAAAGTTCTGTATATTATACAGGGTAAGGATAAGAAAGCTTTGTGTGTTTAAGTGGAAAATTCAGTAGACTGAGCACACATGCAACCTTCAAAGCACTGATTCTCAGTTATTCATAGAAGTCCCAGAACAGTAAGTGATGCTGGACATAAGTCTCTCCTCTCACTCCACCGCCCCACTGATATCCCCTCCATTTTTTAAATACAAAGTTTTTAGTGTGGAGGATACACAAGTCTTTACTGATATGCATGCTATGTTTATAATTAATATTTTGGGAAGATGCTCATGCTCCTAAAATATCCTCAAATAGGATCACAGGATTTGTGCAAATTGTCATTAGGATACGAAATGCATCCATTAAAAACAAGACTAGATTAATAGAGAAAGTTAGTGTACATAGGTGATTTAGTGAGGATATAAATCTGATTATGTTTCTAGTAAATTATCAGAATATGCATCTAGAATAGTAAAACACACTGACTGCCTGGGGAAGCCTCATTTGCAAGTAAAGGATGTACCTACCCCCAATCCTACTAACCAGAGATACCATATGATAGAACAATTATATTTTCTTTATCCTTTGGCAAAAAAAAAAAAAAAAAAAACAAACCAAAAACCCAAACCACCACACACCAAAACCAAACAAACAAAAAACCCCCAAAACCACAGACCACCCCCCCCCAAAAAACCCACCAAACAAAAAACAGTCTAAAGAGCTAGTCATTAACTTCTCAAAATAGCATGGACAAACACAGTGACTAATAAATACTTGGGTAAGTCTGCTGGTAGCTTTCTATTTTCTGAGCTATCTATTGTGATATTTTATTTATAACATATAGTAAATATAATAAGATGCTTCAACATAGAAGGGCGAGTCATTGAAAGGACAGAAATGAAAGGAACACAAGTTTCATTAGGACCAGAGAGACAAATTCTATAATATAGGTATGTCTGTAACAACAGACATTTTAGATCCATCAATAATTAAAATCAAGTGCCCCCGATTCTGCAATACCAGACTTCAACCTTTACCAAGGAAGAAAGCCATTATCAGCAGAAAGGCAGCTTAACAGCATGTGCTTATACATTAGTGTTGTCCAGCTTAATTGACTAACCTAAGATTACAAAAAGCAGCTTTTATAGAGTAAGCATATGTAAAGGAAGTATGAGCAAAGAAATACATTTTTATGTTTTCTTTGGCACGAAGGCACAAAAGATTTATACTTTAAGAGAGCCAAATGGGTTAAATCAAGCTTCGGTATTTAAATGCTTATAATTCCTTTGCACTGCAGAATAGCTTTTGGAATACGGGAATAGAACATCTAGTATTAAATATCCCCTAGAGAATCATAAGTTGCAGTGTCAAGGAAAAGTGAAAACAATTTGAAAAAACCCTCAATCATTCATTTAATAATCATACAATTTTTATACTATTCACCTATCATTGTGCTTGAACCGAGTATGTAACATTTATCAAATAGGAGCAAGAGCCTGTAAAGCTTTCTGACTGCCTTTGGATTTAGTCAAAATGAATGCAAACAATCACGTGGGATTCAGCCAAGCAATGACGTTAAATTCTGCTCTGTCAGAAGACAGCATCTGTCAAAGCCCACATTTAAACTGCTGCCTGCGCAGCAGCTGAAGAACTACAGAATGGATTTTATAGACCAGAATCCTTGGTTAAAACAGCTCAAAACCATTTCTATTACCGCCTAGCAACAATGAAGGAAGGAATAGAGGGAAATCCTGTTACTGAAGGCAACTGAAGCACTATGCGCTAGCACTCCCTGCTAACATTACCATTAGAAATATGGATACTGAGGAGAAGAGAACACAGCACTGCATTGTCCGACAAGGGAAACACCAGATGTAAAAGCTCCAGTACATCGGCTGAGAACGCCAGACAGCCCCGATCAGAACAGAAACGGGAACTACTGTCCTTTTGTTTGAAGGATGAACAAAAAGTCCCAAGACAAGGACAACACTTATAAGCAAGGAAGGTAACACAGCAACGAGCAGACAGATGGACAGACTGGATACTGTGAAAAGCAATCGCAGGAAGCAGACTGTTGGGGGATGTGCGCATGTTTGATAGCATCTTTTTTGCTGAAGTGATGGCGTGCAAAAACTATTTTATGTGGGTATAATCCTCGCACCATAAATGGCCTGACCAAGGAAGGTATGTCAAATCCTTGTGTGTGATATGCATTGCATTGTCTGTTACCTTTTCAGCCATTACAGATAATGATTGTTACTAATTTGCAGAGCCCTGAGATAACAAGTCTCTGAATAGGGAGAAAGAATTCGAGCAGGTTTTCCTCTCCCACAGCAGAATGTCACTACCTTTACACTTAATAAATGCATTGCTTACAGCCTGCACAAGGTTGCTGTAGCTGGAGAGGAGGGATTAAAGGGATAATGTAGCTACTGTAGTGACTGCTTTTAACTGAGAAATTAAAAACTCAAAGCCCTCCAATATAGAAAAAAACAGAGATCCTTTCAAACTAGGTCAGAATTAATCTTTACCTGAAGTAATTTTAAAACATTGGTAAAATGTCCATGATGCGACACACTGAAAGCACTGAACCATCAAAACAGACCATGCAGTCAAATTACATTATCTTAAAAGTACCTTCAGACTTTCTTACACTTGCTCCCCCCCCGCCCCGAAACACAAGCAAAATGTAATCAGGTTAATATCAGCCAAGCATACATAAACTGGGAGCATGCAAAAGATTGGACATGATTTAAACCATCAGCTGTGCAATCAGGCACCACATTTTACAAGAAACATCAGGCTGCCCGACATCCCAAAAGGAAACCTTCAAACACTATACACTCAAAATGGTGAGCATGTAACTTATCTCATGCCATCATTACAATTTCTGTTTAATATGAAAACATTGACTGTTTAACTTGGATTGTAAAATGACATTCCATCTAATTGCCATTCATTTCTATTTATTGTTGAAATTTAAATACTTCATCATTAGTGGCAAACAAACAAGATGAGTATTTGCAATACAAATTTAAGACCTAAACCTATAGGAATTTAATACACCACAGAAAGAAAGTGCTTATCTGCAGAATCTACCAATAAGCTATAACAAATCATTAAAGGTCAATATAAATGTACTTTCTTTGCCCAAGGCAATGCTAACATACAATAAAACAACTGCAACTGGAAAGAGTTCACATACCTAAGGATGCAGCATACAACAGTCACTGGTTTCAGATCACACTTAAGACATTTAGAAGATAAAATCACTTTCCAGAACTTTTAAAACAAACAAACAAAAAATCTACCCTCAAGCAATACTCCTGCAGAAGCATGCCTAGCTAGTGGTGTGACTTTCGTACCTGACATTTAAAAACCTCCACATCAAACCTCATCCCGAGTACTGTTTCGTGCAAAAGATTAATGCAGTTTGTAAGTGACCTCAGGCACATTATCTGAGGCCTAATATGAAACTGCTGCTGCTATTTGTCAGAATACTGACTCAGGCTGCCTTTTGAACTCTTCCCCCTAATTAAAGAGTTTGCCCACACAGCTAATCAAAATATGAAAATCCAGGACATGTGAATAGGAAGTCAAATGCTTCAATCTGCAAAGCTGTAATTATAGAGCAGAACTGAAAGTACAAGGAACAAAAACACCAGCAGAGCACAGACCACAAATAAAAATTCAAGAGGCATTCACAGTTTATCTATTTGGCATTTGATAATGCATCAGTGACTACACAGTCAAGTGCCAAAAATGAAGCAGAATTACTATAAATCATATCTTCAAACTGCAGAGTTACATGCAACAACACACTTTCAGAGGACAAGGTGATTGCATAGAGACCTTTTGCTATACTTAGGTTTTCTTATCTACTGCCATTCGTTGCTGCCTGTTCATAAGCTTTCCGTGAAATGAAATTTTAAATATTTGGGCAAAAGCAGTAACGCTTCAACCCTAAATAAAGTGAGAGAAAATAATATTTTTATGACGCTATTTGATGGTGTTTTTAATATATGTTGACAGTTGTTTACATTATTTTTAAACAATGCATCCTAGCAAGGAGTATTTTTTCAAAGGTACAATTGTTATTGCTGTATTTCAAATTCTTAATACCCACTGTGTGTTTTGGAATGTTTTACACCTGAATTACAAAGAAAATGAGATACAAAGTTACTTGGGTTTTTTCAGTCAATAGTTTTATGAAGCTGAGAAATAGATGTGGGTCCTTTCCCTATCTATACAATGCCTTTCTAAAGGGCAAACAGCCTGAAGATTTTCTAGGAAACTCCCCACTTTGAAAAATCATGGAAACATGTAAGTGAGAATGACTCTCTTTACATTTCTTATGATTGTAGTTCCATCCCTCACTACAAAACTTATTTTAATATGCACAAAGTGAGCATGCAGCCTACAAAAAAAAAAAAGAAAAAAAAAAGAAAAAAAAGGGGGGGGGGCAGGGAGGGGGGGATGTTCAGCCATTACAACTGCCTTTTCTGGGACACTTCCTCAGTGCATCATGGAAAGACAGCATCTGAAAACAGTCTTCAGTTTACGCAAATATTACATAACTTAAGATTCTCACTTTTGACTATTGCCATATGAAAGTAGGTGCACAACAAAACACTACCTGAATTAAAAATTAAACACTGAGTAGTAATGCAGTGCAGATTTGCATAAGCATTTGCACCTAATGACTGCAGTTTTAGAAGTGGAACAATTCAGTGTGACAAAATTGATCTGAATTCTAGCCGCTACTTCACATTCGTGAAATTCTGGTTTTTACTTTCTTCCTAAACTGTATGCATGCAATGGAATGGTAATTAATCAAATATTCTCAGTGTTGCCCTCCAAACTGCTATCAAACAATTATTTTCCCTGAGATCTAGGGTACCCTTTGAAGTGGCATTTATGTTTGCTTATGCAGAGATATTCTTCACAAATAGCTGAGTGTTCATTTAAAACTCACTGCATACTGCAGAGAAACTAAAAATTGTTAGTTTTGAGGACAGGCTTTTATTTTCAAAGCATGCAAAAGCAGGTGCAAGTGGTGAGATAAACATAAGTCTTCTACATTTGGGGCTTATTTTCTTTTACATAAGGATAACGTCTGAGTTGAACACCAGCATAAAAAGAGTAGTGTGGAATTTCAGGTTAGTTCTCAAGCTACATACTTTAGACACATGTGTTTAACAGCTGCAAATTGGAAAATAATTTTTAGAAAGACAGCTCCGTCTCCATAAGCGGCATCAGTCCCAAGCACTTTAAAAAAATAAAATCAGAAATACTTTCAGGGAGCTTGAAAACAAAAATTCATGAATGCTGTGTAACAGCACAACGACAGGGAAGAGCTTACTAGATCACTAGGCAAATATTTTGCTCTTTCAGAAAGAGAATTAAGGAGCAGTGTCGCCTCTTCAGATACATTTACATTGTCACAGACCACAGTGAAAATCCCCACTTACTTGCTCCTCCTGCTGGAGGTTAGCCGGAGAGACCATTCCGACTCCGTGCAATACTACCTCCCCCTTGCTTCCAAATAACTGCGAATGAGGCATCTTCTGCATACATGCTATTTTGTTTATATATAAACTGACATACAGTAATTAAAATAAAGCTCGGTTATATGTCTCTCCCTACCCTTTTGAAATACAAATTTTCCCTTACATGAACCAGGCAGATTGAATGTTAAGTCACACCCATACAATTTAATAATATATTATTCAACTGCCATCTCATCTTAAATTACTTCCTTACAATGTAAAATCCTGTAATTTCCCATATAACATGTCACTTAGTTTTTTAATGCCGAAATTAATCCAAATATTGGTTTTAGAAGATAGCAAAGCAATTAATAAATTACACATCTATATTAGAAATAGCGTTTTCTACGGACTCTTGTTCAGCTGTCATCCTTTTTCCTACACAAAACCCTAGGGCCCAGAAATAAATTAGAGCAAATTGGAAATCACAAACGAATTGCTACTGTGCAGTGAAAGGTTCATTTACGAGATGATGTGATCAGCTTTTAATATGCAGCATCATGAAGCTGCCATATTGACTCTGCTCTTGAATATGAAAAAATTTTAAAAGAAAATGAAGTACAGACTACTTCGGCACTTTTTCCTACAGTTCCAGCTGCTGGTAACAATACTTGAAATTTCTGTATGATAACGGAAGTACAGTAGTTACGTATACACTTACAGAGAAAAAAACAAACCCAAAAATCATGTTCATCAGATAGCTTGCCAAAAACTTAGTGCTGTGCAATTTTACTTCCAGTTAACATGAACATTTACCCCAGATCTCTGCCTACTAAAAATCAACAGCTTCATTTTAATTCAGCTGCATATCAGCCTGACACAACAGCCAAGTATTCCATTCAATATTTTCCTTGATTGTGGAGTAAAAGGTTAAAGGTGCCAGAAAGGTGACCAAAAATGTTATCCTGCGTTACCATCTGAGGGCTGTGCAGTGAGGTTACCAGACCCTGAAAATTAATTTTGACAGGTGCATCTTCTCATTGACTTTCTGAACACAGTCAGGGCCGGTGGAAACACGCCAAGCAGTGTACTGTGACTAACCCAACTCTGCCACAATCAACCTTGCGCCGTCTGTCCCACCACCAATACATGACCATTTTACAAAAAGGGTTTTTAAACTGTGAGCCGTACTAGCCTCTGCATGTCAAATCAATTTTAATTAATGCCAATAAACCTTCCATCTGGTATCAAGGCCTTTTCATTCAGTCTCTCAAACACAGTACAAGTATCTCACAGTCAGTATATGTGAAGCTATTTATGTCTACTTCACACTTGTTCTGCTAACATGATCATTTCCCCCCCCCTTTTATCTTTGCTACCCAAGACATCTGTCAAAACTTTTACCATGAAAAAAACATTTTTGAAAGCTAACAAATCCAATCAACTTTAATCATAAAACAAGGCTGGCTTTTAACATAAATCAAACCTTGTTTATATTAACATGGGCTATTAAAAAAAAAACAAAAAACCTTACCTCAATTTTATGTTTGTATCTAGTTTTTCATTGTAACCTTTTATATTACAAGTGGATAAAATTGAAGATTTCTGATTTTCTTTTTTAAAAATCTTTGCAGAGTGAGCTATTTGCAGACAATTACTCAACATGAGCAAAAGAAAATGAATACCAAAGAATAGCAGTGGATTAAAAAACGATCGGAAAAGCTTTTTGCTTGGCCATTGTCTCATATCCCATCATTGGATTCTTACAACATGCTTCAGTGGAGAAGACGACACTGCTGCTTTGCAAAGATGACCTGGAATACCAAAAGGTCTCTGTTTCGCACCCATCTCATTGGCCTGATCTCTCTTGTATTTCTTTTTGCTATGTTTCTGTTCTTTAATCATCATGACTGGCTACCAGGCAGGGCTGGGTTCAAAGAAAATCCCATGGCTTACACTATACGAGGATTTAGATCTACAAAAAGCGAGACAAACCACAGCTCTATAAGGAACATGTGGAAAGACACCATACCTCAGACGCTCAGGCCTCAAACTGTCACCAACTCCAACGACACGGATCTGTCACCACAAGGAGTAACTGGTTTGGAAAATACCCTCAGTGCCAACGGAAGTATTTACAACAAGAAAGGTACTGGGCATCCGACTTCATATCATTTCAAATACATCATCAATGAGCCTGAGAAGTGCCAGGAGAAGACCCCTTTTCTAATATTGCTCATAGCTGCAGAGCCAGGCCAGGTAGAAGCTAGACAAGCTATTCGACAAACCTGGGGTAACGAAAGCCTGACACCTGGCATCCAGATTGTTCGTATTTTTTTGCTGGGGTTAAGCATCAAGATAAATGGATACCTCCAGCGTACCATACTAGAGGAAAGCAGACAGTACCATGACATCATTCAACAAGAGTACTTAGATACCTACTATAATTTAACCATTAAAACTCTGATGGGAATGAACTGGGTTGCATCTTACTGTCCACATGTTCCGTATGTTATGAAAACTGACAGTGATATGTTTGTCAATACTGAATATTTAATACACAAGCTTCTGAAACCAGAACTTCCTCCAAGGCACAAGTATTTTACAGGTTATTTAATGAGAGGTTATGCACCTAACAGGAACAAGGATAGTAAGTGGTATATGCCACCTGATTTGTATCCAAGTGAACGTTATCCTGTATTCTGCTCCGGAACTGGTTATGTTTTTTCTGGAGATTTAGCAGAAAAAATCTTTAAAGTCTCCTTAAGCATCAGACGTTTACATTTAGAGGATGTATATGTGGGGATCTGTCTTGCCAAGCTGCGAATTGATCCTATGCCTCCGCCCAATGAGTTTGTCTTCAATCACTGGCGAGTTTCTTACTCCAGCTGTAAATATAGCCACCTAATTACCTCCCATCAGTTCCAACCTAGCGAACTGATCAAATACTGGAACCACTTACAACAAAATAAGCACAATGCCTGTGCCAATGCAGCAAAAGAAAAAGCAGGCAAGTATCGCCATCGTAAACTGCACTAGAAGGACAACACTCCCTCTGTCAAATGTACTCCATGTGCAATTTGTAAATACTGCTGAACGCATGTACAGTGAAAATGGATGAGCTTAATGGGACAGCCTTTAGTTGATCCCCATCACATAGTGGAGTCTGAAAATTATTTTTTTAAGTTAAAAAAAGTATAGCTCTTGATAACACTACTATTATGAAACTATAACCAAAAGGTTTTCCCAGCAAATTTGAGGAAAAAAGAAGAGGGTATATAAGGATTTTTGTGTTAATGTGCAATAATAAGCATGCACACTTTGGTGGTACAATTGCTGATTTATGTGCCAATAAAATACAATTGAGCATATTTTCCACACTAAAATTTTATCTTTAAAAATGCATTCATAGCTCTAGTTCTCTTCAATGTAATGACTTCTTGTTATCTAGAATTGCTATAAAATGAAAAATTAAAAACTAAGGAAATGCACAAAGGGCAGATCAGTTTTACCTTCAAATACCACATTAAATTATTATATGCTTCTTTTAATGTACAATACATATAGCAATGTCACATTTACAATTTAGTAAGACACTACCAATGAACTCTAACACACTAGGAAAGTATGCCCTTAAAGTAGGTCCATTTTTTGAAGATTACTTATTAATGGTTAGGAAGGATAAATGAAATGAAATTTCAGAACACTGCCACTTTGTACATTACCTTCAGAAATGCAAGTGATGTTCTAGATTCAACTAGATTCTCCTCAAAAAGCTGACTAAAAGTTACTTAATACCCTAGAAGTCATAGGGCAAGGTCCTAAAATCTGGTGCCAAGTAACATTCATCTTGGTATCTTTGTGCAAATTCATTGAATCTGCTATTGATTTCCTTACATAACTTTAAGGTAACTCAAAGGCTGATCAGAAATGCAAAATGGAACTTCAAGTATTTCACCGTAGTCTCAAAAGTGTTCCATTTTGTGGAAAGAGGGAGAAAACCAACCAAATCTTTGTTGATTTTACTCTTTCCTGCCTGCCAAAAAAAAAAAAAAGATCAGTCAAGTGAAAACAGGTCTGCTAGAGAAAATTAAGCCACTCACCTTACTTTATAGGTGGGGAAGACTATAAGGTCATAATAAGATTGAGAGCTCCAGATAGCAATATGGGCAAGAACAAAATCTAAGCAATTTTAAAAATTAAAGCCACAACATGTACCATTGAAAATAAAGTGTGAGAAGTAGGTTAAATCTATTTACAGGTTTCCAGTTTCCTAACAAACAGAACATTTAAAGCTTATTTTCCAACAAAGTTACAGCAGAGTTATATCAGATTCAGGTTATTACTGTTTTGTCACAGTGCCAGGGTAAGCAATACCCACCTCTGATTTAGCAGCAAACAATGGAACTGTGGTTAGTTTTCTGTTTGACTGGGACTTTTTAATTGGACAAAATACAAATATTTGATGTACTTTTATTATTTAATAAAATTGATTATATTTATGGTCTTCAGACTTCACTTTTTATGGGAAAGCTGCTCAGGATGAAATACATTTTTAGCTTTAGCATTACTTGACTTTTCTAGTGTTCCCTAGCTCTTAAAGCCTAGTTTTCATACCATGCACAATACAGAGATCACAGCAGGGTTTTTTTTCCTTTGTAATGAAAAGACAAATCATATTACTAAGCACTCTCAGCAGCCCTAAGGCTGTCTGTATGCAGGAACTCACACACACAGAACAGAGCGTATTGCACTGGACTAGCCCTCTAAAGAGGGGTATGGAAATTTGCTCGTCACCGTTTTTTTGGTGATCCTCCACTAAGTTTTGTCATCTGCTGTATTTGAGGTATGATAACTATACACCTGTGCATTTCCAAGATACCTCAAATTGTAGAAATGTCCATTTCTGGGGAAAGTAAATGTGTGTAAAAACATTAAATCTCTGCAGAAGAGACTTCTCGAACTAGATTGAAAGTGCATCCACCTAGTTTATGTGATGACTATTGGCATTCATGTGACACAGATGCAAGCTGCATTAGAAAAAGTCTTTGGGAGCATTCTTTCAACACCCATCTGTAGTTTTCTTCACACTCAATCTACCTGCTTCCTTCCAGCCAATGCAGGCCACAGTTAATATTACAGCTGAAAGCCACCTGGCTTAAGTTAACTATATGGAAGCTTTACATAATAATGTGAGCTTTAGACAACTGGAATGTGTTGAACGCCAGCTACTACTCAAGGGTATTCAGTTCTGGAAGATGTACAATCCCCTAAGTGGCCTCTCCCCAAGTAATGCTGGCCAAGAACATAGTCCATCCTCTTAGCAAGGACTTCAACACTGTTCCCTGCATTCAGCACTTTCAAGCTAGATTGTAATGTACTCTACTTGGATTTTACCAACTCTGGCTAGTTCAAAATGTTGTTACTGGCTTCTGGGTATAGTCCAAGAGGTTAATAACTAAACCTTAAATAGTTTGGCATTTGAATCAAAGTTTGGCAGCCAAACAACCTCTCAGGTACTCCACTTTGGAGCTCCTGCACGATGCCGATCTGCTGGAGCTTGGCAATGCCTATGAGTTCAGTATATCAAACTTCTTGCTAGCTAAAATACTAGTGAGGAGTACAAGGCGTTAAATTAAAAAAAAACACAACATTTTTAATGTCCTTTTAAGGATCCAACATAATTTTTGAAAAATTTGTATTAACGTTTGGGTGTAAGTTGAAACTACTCTATAAACATATTTGAATTATTATCAAGACAGCCAAAGGCTACTTAAATCATTTATATCCAAGTACTGTTTTCTTGCACAGTTCATTACAAAGCTTTCAGAAGCAGGAGGGACAGCTTGTATGATGAAATATGCAATTATGGAATGAAATATCTACATTCCTTTCTCTGAATGTTTTTACTGTTTTCTAGCTTGTGTTTAAGCTATTTGCTCACTCTACTGGAATATAAAAACAGATCATGTTAAAAATAGTGCAATCATGATTTATATCATTAAAGTCTTTGACAAGTTCTCTCACTTCCGTTCCCTATAAAGCAAGACAAAAAAAAATGCATTTTCATTAGCAATTGGATACAAGCTTGTATCTAAAAGTCTAACATGTACGCAATGCAGAAAAAAAAAGGATGTAACTAGTTTACTCATTGAGGTATAGAAGTTTGTATATTTGCTGTAAATATTTTTACTTCTCTGTGTGTCTGCTTCAGGTTGAAAACAAACAAAAAGTCATGACTCAAAACTTACTATAGAAAAAAACGCAATATCATCAATACCATCATTATGGAAAAAAAAACCAAACAAACTTACAAAAGTGAAGCACACATTGATACTAGATAACCAAAATGAAGTCCTATAAAAATTGTAATGTGCCAACAACAGAACTGTTCCTTTCACATCTCTAATTAAATCAGTAACGTGGGTTATTTGCAGATCACACATCAACAGATTTGAGCATGGAAAATGCACAACTACAGGTTTGAATGTGATGCAACTGATCCTACTCCCAGTCATTGACCAATATTTCATGGGTAAAGTTCACGATCTGTTCTAGTCTGAAAAAAGTTACAGGTAAAGGTACTTCCAAGCCTCAGTAGTTAGTCTGAGGGAAAATTCAGTGTCCATTAAGATCTTCACTTAAATGTTATAAATTATTTTTATGTCCTATAAATTTAAAATTATAGTACAGCAGTGATCTAGAAGAGATGAGAGAGTGGCTTTCAGGTTAACCTTACCAGAATAGTAATTTAAAATTTGCTTTTCTTTGCAATGCAGTAATATAAAATGTGTCAGTCCATATTTACAATTTTCAGAATATATTAACATGTTAAGACATGCATTAAGGGTCTCAAAATCCATGCTAAATCAGGCAGTGGAGGAGAGGGAAGCACCTAGAAGCCATTACTTTAGAGTGCCCCCCCCATCCCTAATAATTTTCCTGACAGGTTAACACAGACCCCAATCACACTTCAATCTAAAATACCTACATAATCCCACTAAAATCTTATCTCCTAAATGAATACTCATTGCAGCGTGTGAAAACTTCCTAGGAGGAGATGAAAGGGAGAAGGAAGATGCTAATAGAGAAGCTACTACTTCTTACATTTGTGCCATTAGCAAGAACAGGCTTGTAACTCATTTGCAACAGCATCAGTAGTTGTTTACATATTTTTCCAATTTTAAACCCCATTTCTCAATCCCTATTTTATGCTGTCAAATAACATGAATAAATAAATAAATATTGAACAATATTGAACTTTGAATATTGAACTTAATTACACTACGATAACCACACCTATCAAATTTTAAGAGCATTATTGTCCTTTTAATTTCAGATTGTTCTTCCAAAACAGCATGCGATTCGGGTGGCACACAGTCTCACCCTGGCTGACCACAGTAATTTCAGACTAGAGATCATACCTAATAGACATGGTATTTGCTGTATTACTACAGATTACATCTCTAGCCCATCCAGTCCCACCTCCCTTCTCCAGCTCTGCTTCACAAGACCCAGACACTCTGCAAATGGAGCATGGAGGGAAGGAGGGAGGCAGGGAAGCTGCACTGCCAGCTATGCAATGCTGCACTGTGAAAATGTAGGTCAGAAAGGAGAGCACATTGTCTTTGCTTTGTATCCAAGGCAAGAGTGAAGTCAAAGGCTTTCTGGGGCAGGAGGCTGGGGGAGGGTTGTGGAGAACAACTTTCTTACAGCAAGTCAGTTAAAAAAAGCTCTTGAATGTCAGAAACCAGAAGAGTGAAACTAAAAACGCAGCAGCTGATCAACACCACACAAATTAAAAAAAAAATACAAAACAACAGAGCAGGCTTAGTGATAAGGGAAAGCATTAAAAGCAAGGCCAAATTAGAAAGCAGGATCTGAATGTCTAGTAGTAAGTGTTTGCACTTCACCGCTTCCAGAGAAAATACAAATCTATCAGGTAAATCCATTCTTCTAACAAAATTTTTAGTTTGTGATTACATTGCATGCTTTTTATTATGGTTTGAACCAAAGTAATTATAAGACATGACACAATGGCATGAACAGCAGGTCAGTTACTCCACAGAGAGTATTCTACATATAGGACTGTCGGCGCACAGTCAAGCCAAAAGCAAAGCAAACTAGATCACTTGTACCTAGAATTTACATTACATTTTCAAAGAAAGAGTTAATT